CGCGTTTCGCCGATAGCGACGGAAAGAATGTTAATGGATTTCCACCATAAATAGCTCTACCCGCCGTTTTACAATATTTTGTTCAAGAGACAGGAGATTAATTGACTTTATGGACGAGAGAGTGCCCAGGTCAATCCAATCGTTGGCGTTTCGTTTTATTAGGGAAACGAGAATAATCGATACAGTGGCAATGTTGGAAAACGCTGATCAAACGAACGTACATTTTCCGAATGAATTTATTTTTTCCACCGTTACCCCTTAAACGGATAAATATTTAACTATACAATTTACACCTTGAATTACCTATTATTATAATTCTTTACCTCCGTCAGTTCACACCGCCTTGTTGTACTTGTAATTCAAGAACTTCGCGTCAACGTTCCTTCGTAATTATCATGCTTCACCTGTATGCACCTATACTTTGCTGCTCTCAATTTTAACGCAGTTCACTTACTCTGCACACTATTACCTTCGCATTGTCTTCCCTTACTATGCGTTTTCTTTTAAGATTATCCTTTTATGTTGCAGCAGTTGCAACAAAGTCGTCGTATTATTATATCCCGTCTTTCACCGAACTATCTCCATCCAAGGCAAAGCTTCGAGTTTAACGCAGACGTATTTCTCTTTTCACGCTTCCGAGCCCATTTTCGCCACGTCGCTTCTGACTCGCGAGATAGATTCTGATGCACTGGTGCAGCGTTATATAACGGTAGCGTAATAAAATTCTTTTTACGATCGCGAGAAAGCAGGATCAATCGGAATCGTCGCTGGTCAATGAGAAATTTACCATGAAATTGACGAAAATAGGTTCGATACGGTCAGAAGCGAAAAACGAAGAGACTTTAAAATATCGACGCTGGACTCGCGAAAAAACGGTGGGTTTGTCAGTCGGTCAGAACTAGCTGGTAAGAAGCCATCCCCCAGAAGCTTTCCGGTGTCAGACGCTTCCTGTGTTCCTATCTGCCTCTATATACCTATCGATCCTCGGCCTGCACCCTCCTCTTTGTGCCATCCGACTGTCGTCCCTCTCTTTCCGTCTCCCTTTCGTCCTCCTCCTCCCACCAGGCTCGATCTATATTGCATTCGTACCCCCCTACGCGAGGTGTCCTCGCTTGTAGCTCGCGCCATAACACTCAGGGTAATTTTCCTTGCATATTTATACGCGCGTCTCATCGAGAAAAATCCCTCCGTTAAATGTTTCTCTCTCTCTCTCTCTCTCTCTCTCTCTCTCTCTCTCTCTCCCCCCCTAGTTTCTATTCTCTGCATTCTACTCTCTATTTCCATCATTTGCTCTTTGCACGAACTTAACCGCGTTTAACAGATTCTCGTTACTGAAAGTTCGACGTTCTACGATCGCGAACATCTCGATTTTTCTCGAACGAGTGCGCGTTTTCGGCGATCAAGAGGCAGTCGTTTCATCCCCTCCGACCCTCACGCTCTTCTCGCCAAGTCGTTCTTCGATGAAAGGAAACGTTTCCTCCATCTCAAGAGGGAATTCTAGTCGCCGAGGAATCGTACCGACGCCGTTTCGATTCTTCGACGGAGCACCTTACATTTTTCCGTTCGGCTCCTGTTGTTCCATGAGAAACTACCGTTTCTTCGTCCAGGTAAAAATCTCTCGAGACCCTTAAGAGCTCGCAAAAACGGTATTAAGACGGACTTTAACGCTTATCGCGACGTACAATGCTTCTACGTCGACAGCGATACTCGGTTCCCTATCTACCGACTGTATCTTTAATTTCCGACTCCGAGATCGCTCGATATTCTCGTAGTTAATTATCGTATCAAAATATTTTAACCCCTTTGCGAAACTGAAATTCGATCAAGGACGGGTGTAGGGACACGCACCGTCTGAAATTTTGAATAACCACCCGGGCAGGAACGACGATGCCCTCTTTCGTCAATAATTAATCCGTTGAATGATTAACCAGCATCAGGCCGTCCAAACCGTTCGACTTAACCTGTCTGATTCCGTTCTAAATAATTCATCCCGACGATGTAAGTTCGGCGTTTGCCTGGATCGTAATATACGGCACTGCCCTACCGCATATCGCTCATCCACCAAATCTATTCCCTACCGGCAACTTTACATGCTAAAATTACAGACTTTACCGTTTATTTAAATTGCAGTCGCAGGATGCACGATATCGTGTTTCGTGCAACTGCTCGTGGACGGTTTCTGTTTTTTTCCTTTTTCTTTTTGGAACACGATTGCTTCCGGTCGTCCATCTATTTTCCAATTCTTCTCGACGAAAAAGGCGATGCACTCTATTAAATTACTTGCTGTGTCAATTTATTGTTCGCTTCGGACCACGGAAATCGATTCGAAAAACCTAGCGTATCCAGTACCATTGACATGTTTCCCCTACAAATCACGTCTGTATAGTTTCGGCAAGTGTGCGTTTAGAATAGAAATACGATGTCGGGGACAGTTTTACTCGCAATAGTATGAACCTGCATTCACGGTAGACGAGGAAACGTATTAGTCGACGCAACAATTTCGGAATATATTACGTCGATAAGAAGGGTAGGCAGTGAGGCGTGTTGAAAACACGAGAGAGCGACGTAAGGGTTGCGTTCGTCTTTCAAGCGAGGGCGAAGTAATTTCCGGGTGTGACATACGCCGCGTTTACTGGTAAAAATGGGCATTTAACCGAACCTTTCAACCTTCTTCCGCTAGGTGCAACAGAGTTTGAACGGGAACGAGCTCTCGCAAAAGGATCTTGCAGCGAGCAGCGGAATCTTTTCAGACACGAATCATCGATAATGAAAAAAATGTTTAACGAACAAGAAACATCGAAGTATTTATCCGGAAACCCTCGAGGAGAGTCTCCGGAGGTGCGTTATCGGGACGGTCGCAGACGCAGGAGGAAAGTTTCGCGACGAAGAGGATCCGGAATCGATTCGAAATCCGTGTGGCTCCGCGCTCCTTTTTTACCCTAGACACAAACCACGAGCAGCCACCCTGGTACCGACGAGAACACACCGAGCGCACCCCTACTACCAACGATAAACCGAGGGGAAACGAGTCTCACCCCCCGCTTCGACTCCCTCCGCTTCAGCGATGGGTTCGATCGCTCGATCTTCCCTCTGCCACCTAGGTAAATCCATGAACACGCGACAGGGTGCACCGTCGCAAAAGTTTCTAGTCGGTTGGTAAAGCGAGTCGAGACGCGATTCGTTAATTGGCCGAAGGATGGAATCGTTCGGGACGACTGGCTGGTTTGTTTGGACGGTCGAAGGACCTCGAGGCCAACCCTATGTGCCGCCGCGCCGGTTTAGCCAGTGGGGCGAGGAAAGGGATGGCGGTGGCGGCGGTGGCGGCGGCGGGTGTGGAGGTGCGCGCGCAATCTACCCCCTCTGTCGAGTCTCGTGTAACACGTAATCGAACTGGGAGCGCCGCGGTTCGTCGTCAGCTCCGTCATCCGCGAACGACAGGGCTGAATCTTTGACGAAACGAGCGAACGCGAGACACGGGGGGGATAAATCGCCGGGACCGAGGTAATTAGCGAAGAGCCCGTGTCGCGAAAATACTCGGGTCGAACATACTCGGGAAAACGAAAAAAAGAGATAGATCCTCCTCGAAGCAGCAGTAGTCCCCCCGGTCGAAGGAGGGAACGTCGCTCCAGTTGTGTTCACGACTGATATACAGTGACACACACGTCGGTGATGGTGGTGGTGGTGCTGCACGAGTGCGCGTAGGGTGGAGGTGCGCTGCCAGAACGAAAGGAAGGGTCAGTCGGCGAGAGGTTCGTAGTTTCCTCCCTGACGGGACCTAGACGTCGCGGACGAACACGCGAAGAAACTATGTACGAACGAGTCGTGGACGGAATCGGTGGGTGAACAGAAAAAGTGAAGGAGAATCGTCGGTCACCGTGACGGGGGTGTTACCGACGGACGAAGAAGCGTTCGTAGAGTGCTGCTGCTGTCCGGAGAGAGTGGACGAACACGAGAGGGTGCACTCGGGGGGTAGTTGGGCAAACTGCAGCGTTCGGTGACCAGTGCGTGACGGATCGTCGATCCGAGGGTCGGGGAGCTGGATATCGCGGAACAGTCTTTTGTCCGTGAAGTCGCAATGGCGCCGAACGGTGCTCCGTCGAGGAGTCGGCTGGTTTCTGGCGGATCCGCCGCCGGTGGTCGAGCGACCGCGACATTCACGTGAGCCCACCCCCCGATGCTACTCGACCCGCCGCCGCCACCGCCGCCGCCGTCCGCGTCCGTGCCACCTCGTGACGATCGAACCGATTTTACTGGACTCCTCCTCGGGATCATCCTTCTCCGCCCTTTGATTGCGGGACGGGTTCTATCGCGATCGCCCCATTTTCTGGCTTCTTGTCCTTGCTCGGTGAACGCGAATCCTCGGCCGAACATCATGAGAAGGATCCGCAAGAGGCAGCCGCAGAAGATCAAGAACCGGTCGTGTCAGTGACACACAGTGCGTGTGCATGTGCGAAAGCAGCCGAGTGGTGCGCGAGTTTTCAGGTGATTCCTTTTTCAACGTACGCCTACGTCCTCGTCCTCGTCCTCGACCTCGACCTCGACCTCAACCTCGACTTCGACCGTCCGTTGTTCTCCTCGTCCGCTCCGACGAACGGATTTCGACGACCCCCGGTAGTACGGTCGCCTCGCGATCACGCCGGTGATCGTCATGCCGCGGAGATACGCGATTTGTGCCGCGGAGTGACGGCGACGAACGGGACGGACAGGACGAACGCTCGAATACGAGCCACCTAGAAGAAACCGAACGAAACCGAACGAAGAAGAACAAGAAGCAGAAGAAGGAGAGGAGCGTCGAGTAGGTTGCCTACAGAAAGGTGCGAAAGGAAGGAAGGAAGGAAGGAAGGAATTCTGGGCGCTGAGGGAGGGGGTCGGGGTGGGGGTGGGCCGCAGCCGGAAAGTGGAAGGCGGAAGGAAGCTAAAAAGCAGCAGTTGCCGGCAGGACTGTTTTCGTAGGATAATCCAACAACCTGGCGGACCAGGAGGAAGGTGGCTCGACGGCGATGCAGGGCAAGGAGAGCCCCGTCGGGTCCAACACCCAGGAGACCCATCAGTATGTCGGCCCTTATCGACTGGAGAAAACCTTGGGAAAAGGGCAAACCGGTGCGTGGACCAGATTTTCTCCCTAGATTCGAACACAATTGACGCCGCTCGTTATCCACGATGGTCCCGAACGAGCTACCTTGAACTACTTAGAACGCGTGACGAAACATTCGAATCGACCCGAATATTCCTTCTAGTTACGAGCTATTGTCGTCCCCGTTATTTATTAATAACGTACATGCGGGAACGTTGTTTATACGACGAAGTAGGTATGGAAAATAGATTGATCGAATAGATTCAAAAGAGAATAGCAGATAAAAATAAAGAACGTAGGGTGGATATTAAAGGCAAAAAGAGTTGAGAATGTCTAACCATTTCAATTCCTTCGACTATTATATTAAACATGCTATTATCCACCACAGAAACGATAAAAATGAAATATTCGATATTAATTTTTGGGTTTGTAAGACTTTTCGTCGAGATCAATTAGTCCGATAATTCCAACGTTTCCAAAAATTTCAGACAATTCTCGTTTTTTATCGATACCGGAAATGATTATTCGTACAATCATCCGATTAACCGCTTGAAACAGTTTGAAATCTTCAGAGCGAAAGAATTAAAGCTCGTCGTTAATAGTGGAAGAAAGAATGAATAGCGAGAGCGGTAACGATTCCCTTGCGCAATTTCAGGCAATTGGAGCAATTAGTCGTCTACAGGCTGTATCCCGCCGAATATTATTCGGCGTTAAAGATATTTTAAATTCCCAGGAATCTTGAACGACTTGACATACTTGGCTATCTCGATGAAACGTTGGAACTTCTTAAACGCGATGAAATATATTCTTGTTACTAGTTCGCATTCTATGAAAATTAATGGATCTTTTTTTAAATGTTCAAGATCGTCGACCAAATTAAAAATTTCAAGTAGCCGCAGTTTTAAACTGTATTCAAGGGTGATTCGAAATTTCTGTCACGCGTTTCGAGCAATTAGCGCGTTATTCGCATTACGGTCCCTCGACCATTTGCAATTCCTAACGGGGCCGAGTTTATAACTCGAGACGATCGAATTATCGTTTCACTTCAATTCTACCCCCCCCCCCTCAAGTAGAAGCATCAATGCCGAGACGCAATACACGTTAGTTCAAAAGAGATACTCCATATATTACACGTATATTTTCCCAAAAAGTATTAGACCCCATAATATCGTCGCGTGGCTTATGTATAGCGCACATTTGTTGTATCAGAGTCTTCTGTTATCGCATTATCCCTAATGAACGCAAAAAACGACGTTTGTCGCGCGCAGCAATATAGGAAACACGCAACTGCATCGTTTTTTTCTCGAGCGTTGAGAGCTCTCCGCGTAAATATTACGCGCCGTCTATTAGCTTGAGCAGGAAAAACCACGGTATTTCATTCACCGCCAGCGTAAACAACCCACTCTCACCGGTAATTGTAACTCGCGGAAAAGCAATCAAATCTATCGTTCGCGAGCGTGAAACATCTAATATTAAACTGGAAATCTTCGACAACGATCTATATAGATTTTTCAATCGACTCGACGAAAGAACAATATCCACGAGACCTCGTTACACGCCGGTTGATCTTGAACGTTCCCGGAAAGTCTTCGTCGGCGTCGCGAACCCTCCAGTGCAGCGACTCGATTGCATTCGAGGGAAAGTGCACCGGCGACTGCACGCGCGCCTATACAATTTTCTTACACAACTCGAAAGGGAAGGGGGGAAGAAAAAGAGGGCCACGAACCCAAGGCAACCACGACCACCACCACCACCACCACCCCCCGGTTCGCCGCTTTTACGCGCGCCTCCGCTTGAACCTATCCCGCTGCCCCCAAGAAGCTGCTTTTCCAGGAGAAGAATAACGCCTTTGGTTCGTCCCGCGTGCGCACGGTGTGTCCCCGCGACTGCTCCCGTAAACTCGACCCGTGCGAACAATAAGTGCCGAGACAATCCAACAACTCGCGCGGTGGCGGCGGCACACTAACGACTTCCACCGATCGAACGAACGCCGCGACAAATAGACACGTTTCTTTCTTTTTCCAACCTTTCGAAGAAACTGCCTCGCGTATTGTTTCGCCGAATCGTGCTTTTTTCCCTAGCTCCGTCAGGCCCATCCGAACGGAATTTGATTTCGTCGGAACGGGGATCTTGGTATTCTACGGTTTAGTCGAGGTGAACGTCACTGAGCGCAATTCAAGTTTACTTACTAAAACAGTCAACTAAATTAATTATAATTTGAAAATCAAACAACGTAGAATCGTGAAATTATTAAACGACTTCTCCCCCGCGTTCCCGTCGTATTACGATTCTCGTTTTCTCTCCGAACAGGAATGGGGGAATTACATTCGGGACAAAAATTGCCGTCCAGTTGTTCCCACCGCGCAAACTTGTTTTTCGCTCGGGCACGCTCAGTTCGTCGTTAATTCCGCGAGAAATTCCACGGGATATAATGAAATCGTGAATTCCGTCAAACTGTACCGGGTATATTGGTGCACCACACCGACTGCTGGAACTTTGGGTTACGCGGGTCTGTGCCGAAAATCGATGAAAGCGTAGTCTCTGGGAAACGCGAAGGCTACTGTCGGCCACCATGGAACGCGTGACAAGCGTAAGTACGGTGTTCTATTGGCACCCGTTTCAAGATGCCAGAATCGGGGCCCCCGCAGGGTGTGACGCGGCAACAGATCGATACGATCGAACGCCCCGCGATTGTATCGTGTTCTCGCACGAGCTGCCCCCTCCGATCAAACTCGAAAGCCATATAACGTTTTTCGAATCTTCGTCTATCTGGAACGAATAGCTTTCGGATTCTTAAACGATCCATTTTTAGTCAGAAGTTGAATTCTGTTCTTTCCGTCGTTCTAACAATATCGTTACTCGATTTGAAGCGAAAACGAAACACTTGACATTTTTACCACAGCGTACAATAATAGAGGAACAAATACGTGACGTTTCGTTTGTTATTTCGTCGCTATTACTTGGTCCGCGGAAAAACACTCCCGGCGGACCAGCTCGATGGAAGGTTCACTGTTTACCGATGCAAGCGCAACTCGATATTGCTTCATAACTGGTGTCACCGTTGTATTTCGTAAGAAACGGCAAGGTGTTTTGCGGAAGAAATTGAAGAACGTCGCTCACGCGTTTAGATGAAAGTTTCCGAAACAATTTTCTATTCGAGACACTATCGACTAGGAGGATGGAAGAATATTATTTAAAAATACTACAAACGTCCTGATACATCGAATATCGACGAATTCTTTGGGGAAATTGAAAGGATATCGTTTCTGAAACGGTAAGAACACGACAAGCTATTGGAATCCAAGGGTCGAAAGGTAAAAGAATTAATGTTTTCTCCATCCACGAGAGGAAATAATGGTTTCCGGGGATGAATATTTGATGCTGGTTCCTCGATCGGAAATAACCACGGCGTAAACGAAGACACCGTACCGAGACGTATCCGAAAATCTCTTAGGAGCTCGGCTATAACAATCAGGATCCTCGATTTAAACCTATCATGGGATAAACGCTGGATTGCAAAAATAAAACCAGACGGGATTGCAAAAATAAAACCAGACGGGATTCCTGTAAGTTTCACGAGTCAGGCACCATTTCTGGTGTCTGTTACGAGTGTGCGAGATCTTCGATTCGAAAATAAACTTTATAGCGAACATTAATCGGATTGGAAGCTCCAAGGTTCGTTCCACCGAAAGCATTAAGCCCACGGATCTGCTTTCATCGTGGTGTTCGATCGCCTCGTGCGCTGTAAACCTACGATGTAACCGACAAACGCGCGTTTCACGCCAGAATATACATATATGTAAGCCAAAAACAAATGCAGATGAATTCGCGAATAGACTTCTCAACGACGCCTCTTCGTCCGGGGTTCCGATTCGCTCGTCCTACGTGTAAAACGGATTACGAATAAAAGTTTCCCAGCCAGCCAACTCTTTCCCATGGAGACAATTCAACCTACTTCGGCTGCCAAAAATCCTTGAAAGATTGCGCTTTCCAGTGAACCTCCGTCGAAACAGGACAACGAAAAATTGGACTCGAACGGTATTCGGTTATCTTTTATTTTTACCGCTTATTTTGGGGGATCGAACATCACTGCTTCCGCCTCCAGTTTAACCCCAATATTGCGCTTTCAAATCTTTCCGTTCACTCAGATGTGCTGCATTCAATTACTAAAGTTGATATCATGTATGTGACTTGTTTTTTTTTCTTTCTTCGATGAACGAAATAAATAGTACTTGCATCGAAAGTATGCAATAAAATATTTTCATATTGAGCTTTTTTTCGGTTAAATCGTTGCAGAACCACTTAATTAATTAATGTTTATAAACACTGTCAGGGAATTACTTGAACAATAATGAGGCATAAAGTGATGGATGATAATGAGATTGATGGAAAACAAATAATAACTTGTTTTAACTACCTGTCACTGCAAGTGGAAGTAACGATTAATAATCAGACACGGTAATAGCCGCATTTAACCCTTTGATTGCTGATTAAAAATACATTTGGATGCTTAAATATGGAATAAAACAAAGCCTTCTAATAGTTTCACAGTTTCCCAATAGAGTGCGTTATCTGCCCGAAACTATAATTAAGTTATACATATCTAAATATACAAAAGTAACACGAGCATTTAAATTTCGAAAGCGTATATGTGCTGTAATAGCATAAGGGATGTCTGGTGCTGCAAATGTATATTTACGTTAATACCAACTAAAGGATTAAAAGCTCACGTGCCCAATATTCATTCACACAAAAAAATATTATTTTACACATACAATTTATACTTTTATACAGTTGCCATATTGCCGTCTGTACCACCAGTTCAGACACACCCTATATACGCGATTGTATTGTTTTCTCCTCTCATTAATTTTATTTCCACTAAGACACGGTTCGGGAACGACATCTGTTCTTGAACGTCGTTCCTTTATTACGCACCATTTGATACATGGGATCTAATAAACAGAGTGTTATCGGTATTGTTATATTTCGTCCGGATCGATTAACTTTCGCGACAAGCGAAACA